CTACGACTACTGCTGCTACTGCTACCACTACAACACTGCCACCACCACAACACCCACGGCAGATTAGGGACGCAATGATGCAATGGCAAAAGCAATAGCAGCAGGAAAAACACTAGCAATCATGGCCCATGGCATCAGTAACGGTACTAAAATCTGCCATAGTTTGAGCAAGAGAGGTGTAAAATGAGCATAGTAGCACCAGCAACGGGAGAGTAGAAAAACTGATTAAAAGGATAGTCATGACAAGAATACATGACAAGAATCAAAGCCAGACAACGGTGATAGCGAAGACCCCTAAGAAGCCTGGTATCTAGACTACATCATGTCACATGGCCGAAGAACCAGCCCGTTTAGGTTGAGAACCCTAGCGGCACAAGTGCCGAGGTGCTTGGGACACTGGGGCGTACGTCGCAATACACGAGACATTTCTTTGCAGGGCGATGCAAAGGAAGGGAGCGCCGACTGGCAGTCGCCGGGTGGGAGGTCGGGGGGGTCTGAGGCTAGTGGACTGCGATCCCAGGATCTCGAGTTTTAAACCCAAGACAGTCGTGGACTGGGGAGCCAGGGCTCAGGCTCGGGCTGCTTTGGATTTGGCGACGATGTCGTCGAACTCGGTGTTCCAGAAAGCTTAAGGTTTGGGACTCGAGGGTTTAAGTGAGGTTTCGGGGTTGGCCTACGGGCTTGGCCGAGAAAAGAACCAGCAAGGACTCAGAATGATCCCGAGCAACCGGACAAGAAATTGAGGAAGAAACGCCCAAGCCTCAAACCTCAAATCCCGAAGCCTAATCCGCAAACTTGACAGCCAAACCCGAAACCACCCCCCGAAACACGGAACTTCGGATGCTCAATGAGCTCGGAGCCTCCGGAAAAGCCTTCCGAAACTCGGCCTGCTCCTGCTTCAAAGATGGCTGCGGGTTTGGGCCTGTTGGGCTTGGAGTTTGGAGCGTTCGGGTGTGGGGCTCGCAGAAACTGCAAGGTTCGCGTCCGGAGTTTTGTCCGGGTTTTGATGGGAAGGCCCCAGGTGGTCTTGGGCTTGAAGGCCCCACTACCCCTTTAATTGCTAGCGCACTACCACTTGACCCGCGGGTTGGTTTTGCTTGTTTTGATCTGCTTCTGGGGTGTTGGGGGGAGCTAGTTTCGTTCTGTCTGACGGCGTCCATTACCGAGGAGTCTTAGGAGTAGCAGTGTGCTAGTTGTACTGTTAGTTCTGAAGCACTAACCACCCTTGCTGCTGCAGCTGCTGCAGCTGCTGCAGCTGCTGCAGCTGCTGCAGCTGCTGCTGCACCTGTACTGCGCGGTCTTACAACCATAAGTTCTTCTCTCCGTCTGCATCCGCTGCGGCTTAACGCATCCCAAAGCAAACGGGGTCGGGGGCTCTTGAACGCTCTCAACCCTAGCCATTCTATATTATACCATAATACTATACTACTATACTCCTATAGTAGTATACTGCTACAAAACCCTAGAACTAGAAGCTTAAAACAGCATCCCAGGCCACGGCGAAGCACTGCAAGCCCCAAAACTTCAAGTTCAAAGCTTGAACCCGACATCCCACGACCTTGTTTTCGCTTCGGCAAAACCACGAAAAAACACTAATTCCAAAGACGAAAAACAATGACGAAAGAAAGACGCGAAAACGGTTGACGTTGCGCAAGGCTGTCTCCCAAAACAAGAACTGATAAAGCAGAAATCATCGCTTTGTTTGAGTAAAACTGCCATTTTGCCCTAACGCCCCCCAAAGACTACGAAGGCGCGGCAGCACCGAAGCCCCACAAACCCAAGCCTCGACCGAAATCCAAAAAGGCCATTTTATCCGGAAGTAAAGACATGGTGCCGGACAATCAAGCCATCAAAAGCAGAACCTTGTTTTCGCCGTGGCAAAACCGCAAAAGATAAAACAATGACGAAAGCAAGACCCGAAAACTTTCCAGGTTGTGCAAAGATGTCTCCCGAAACAAGAACTAAAAATCCAGAAATCATCTTTTTTACCTCGGCAACACTGCCATTTTGCCTCAAAACGCACCCCAGCTATCGCGCGGGTCGTTTCATGTAGCATTACCTTGTATTGTTTGTGATGCTAACCTGAAGCCCAGCACCCACACCGGCCGGTGCGAAAGCCCAGTCAGCTTCGGCTCAAAGGTTCCGTTTATGGGGCTTTTGGGTCTGCGATTTTGGGTTTTGGGCTTCACGACACGGGCAGCGTAAGGTGGCATTCAGGGCATGGGGTTTATTATACTGGTTGGGGGCGTATACTGGTGCAGGCTTGCGAAGCTTCTGCTGAAGTGCGGCCCTGCGAATCGCCCACCCCAGATATTGAATCCTACGCTTCTAAAGCACAACTCCTACACCCGAAAGGTAAAACGGCCAATTCCTAATCCCTTGAAACCGACCCCTAAAGCCCCTGACAAGGAAGGGGCCTGGTTCCAGGCCATGGACTTGCTGGCGAGATCAGTCCTTCTAGGAAGTCTCATGGGGTCATGGGGTTCTCTGACTCCGAGAGTGAGTTTGGGGGTGTGTGGCTTGGACGGGTGAAGGCCCCGAACTCAACCTGCTGGGCTTTCAAGACTCACACCCTGAATCGCAGTCGTGCTGCGGAACGCGGGTTCCTGACCTGCTGGCAACTGAACTGCAAACTCGACAAGCGAGGAAAGGAAGCCTGTGTTGGGGTTTGCTGCTCCCGAACAAGATTTAGTCCTCAAGCTTTTCGCACGTCTGGCTATGCTGAAAGCACTGTGAAGTCTGGCGGGTGGTCCTCACTTCCAAAGCTGTTGGTGGGTGAATGGCTCCTGCTGTCGGCGTCTCCTGCAGGTGTGGATTCCAAGAGTCGGACTGCAGCTTACACGTCCAGTTCTCGCTGTCTTGCCGGGTGAGCTTGCGGGAAACGCACGACCCCTGGAATCAGACCCCCTAGTTTCAACTTCCAACTGGAAGGCCCTCAAGCCTTGACCACATCCCATGGCTCAGAGCTCAAAAACCTGAACCCTCAATCTAAAACCGCAACCGTAAACCTTCGGTTTTCGGACCTCGCACATGAAGGACAGAAGCCCTTTCAGCACCGTGGCCACGGACCAGGCTGGTTGCCAGGTCTCCGGATGATAGTCCGACCTTGAGATTGAGGGTGTACGGAAGACGGTTGATAAAGGGGCTGGAGTTGAGACTGTTGGGCTTAGGGTTTGGGGTCTTGAGCTTAGCTGAGGTCCTCCCCAGAGAAATCAGATTTGCCGCTGTCAGCCCTTTCTAGAACCCTCCAAGCTCGGCATACACCCATCAGAAACCCTGTCAGACCCCTTGTCAAAGCCCCAGAGCAACACTACCCTAAGAATATACCATATTATACTCTACTGTACTTTAATGTACCCTGAAATACTACAATATACTTTAGTATACTCGAATATACGAGAGAATATACTATCATAGACCATAAATGACAAAACTGGACCATAACTTTTTAGCTTCATGCCATGCCTCAAAGGCCCGAGCATCGAGAGGCACAGCCGCGTGTTCACCTCGAAGCGGCCGTTGGGCGTGACCTCGGTGAGGCCAAGGGCGGAGTTGGGGCTTCGGGTTTTAGGGTTTGAGGGTTTAGGGTTTGAGGGTTTGAGGGTTTGAGGGTTTTAGGGTTTGAGGGTTTGAGGGTTTGAGGGTTTGAGGGTTTGAGGGTTTGAGGGTTTAGGGTTCGAGAGTTTAGGGTTTGAGGGCTCGGAGCGCTTGCATCCTCTGATGGTTTAGGGGATGAACGTCCAAAACTGGTAGATGGCTCGACATGATGCAGCGGATTAGTTCGGCAAACCACACAACCCACCCAGTAGATGACTCAATAGAAATGCCTACCGCACTGAGGCGATAGCACCTATCTTCGCATGCATTTGGGATGTTTAGCAGAACCATCCTGAAGCTTCTCCTTTCAGGAACTCTACCGCCGTAGCCGTGGTAGCTGAACGGGCCGCCTTCATGGCAACCAGACTTCAAGGCTCAGTGTTGAGGACAGCAAAGCCCGAACAAGGTTTGACCTCTGCCAACATCGATCACATCAGTGCCAACCTGTTCTGAATTCCATGTGGGATGCCGGAAGACTGGCTGCTTAAATTCCACATCGATACGAGACCCCGAACACAAAACCCGGCACCCTTGAACGTTGGTCCGCAACCCTAAACTGTATGTCCCAAAGACTGCTTGGCACAGGCCACAACAGAAGATCTCAATTAAAAGCAACTCGAACCTAGACTAAACTTTTCTATGTACAATGCAGTGCAATGCATATGTACATACGTGTATATCTATGCACCTATATGCACATGCCTATTTGTACATACAGACATACATGCATGCGTACGTTACACGCATACATGCATACACGCATGCATGCTTACATGCATGCATGCATGCATACATACATGCGTTCTACATACATACATACATACATA